CAGATTCAGCCTGCATTAGTGAGCGAGTGTGTGGTGTAACGTCAGACCGGTGATAACGCTCACATGTACACTTATGAAAGACAATAGTGGATGGAGGTAAACCAAGTCATGTCGCAAGAACAGTGTTTTGTTTTCTGTCTTGTTTATGCTAGTCCTTCCCTGCTTGGCTTTCTTTAGGAATTTCATGGCATGCAGGCGGAGAAAAGGGGAGCGGGAAGGAGACGGAAAACATTCAACAGAACACGTGAGAAACAGAGAAGAGGTGAAAGAGGGGAAATGTTTGTTCTAATCTTGATTTCAGATGTTTTTGGGATCTTTTTCTGGAAGTCCTTAGAGCGGGCTGATGGATATCTCCGCATTGGTTGCCAGCAGTGACCCTGGGGAACCACATGTGTCTGCTTCAATGGTATTATGGGATATTACACCATGTGTAATTAGAGCTAAATACAGGGGTGGAGATGAGGGGGCAATGAAAAGCTTGCTTTAGTGAATTAATCCTGCTGATGTGGTCTTGTTCAAAGAGAAAAACTTAAAATAAATCAGATGAATCAGTTATTTCAGGTAAATGAAAAAAGATGGAATCTCTGAAAATCATAAACTTCAGTTGTTTTTAATCTCTTTGACACACATTTACAACATACATTTCTTGTCTTGTTATTTCTGCTGTAATTATGAAAATTTGCTCTGTAATCTTTTAACATTAAAGTAAATCAAATAGATTTTTAGTAGAAAACTATTACAATTATTTCTTTTGGCCAAACACACACACTCAAAAAAAAAAAGGATTACTGCTGCTTGTTTAAAACTACCTGTTTAAAATGACCCGAGACAACACAATTATTCTAATTTATTTGTCTTATGTTCTGTCAACTTAAATTTGAACCATTAAGTTAACTTAAGCGTTTTGTGTTGGGACAACATAAAAAAATCGAGTTGGTTTAACTACCTGGTTAGGGGATTTGTAGATCCCAGCATGCTTTGCATGGAATTGAATTAAGAAAGGGAAATGTTGACAATAAAAGTAATCTTAGGTGTTTAAAGTTAATAGAAAGTCTTGTTGGAGTTTAATCTTCACTTCTGTTTGAAGATTCAGAAGATTCCACCTTGCAGAAGCACGCATGCTTTGGGTGTTGGCAGCTTAATTAGCAAAAATGCAGTTTGTTGCTTTGCTCAGTGAGCAATACCTGTCCTAAAATTAGTTCGGAGATAAATCGCAATCAACTGTATATGTAACTCATGAAATATGCTTAAAAATGGCTCTTTTAGTTAATTTAAGATAACTTTTATTCAAAAAGGTAATGTTTGCACTCATCAAGTAATTGCTTCGTACTGCTTTTTTCTTTTTCTTTTTACATTCTTCGGGTGATTTAAAAACACAAACGTTTCGGCACAATGCCTTCAGTATTTTCAAATCACCCAAAAAATGTAAAAAAAAAAAAATAAATAATAATAATAATAATAATAATAAAGTAAAAAACAGTATTTACATGATGAGAGTGAATCATTACCTTTTTGAATAATAGCATTGATAGGATTGATGCACCAAAGAAGTTTCTTTGAAAACTGCAAGGAAACTTCACTACGCACGTAATTTAAGATAACTTCAAATAAATCTCAGAGACTTCGAAATGTATGACACATAATAGACATCATGATGGTATCAGATCTTTAAGTTTAAGTTGAATAAAAATACAAACATATTTAAACTTGTGTTAGATCAAATAATGTAGGGCCAACTTAACTGCATTTAATTATATAAATATTTTTTTTAGTTGGTGCTAAATAAAGTTATTGGATTGAAATCCTGCCTCAGTTAAATTGAGTTCATCCAATGAGTTATTTTTTGAGTCCATAATACAAAAATTAAAGAGGGACAACTTCATTTCACCTTTTAAGGCCCAAGGTGTTTGTTTACATGCATTTTGTTTATTTCTCTTTGCTATTTGGGCTTATTGGAACCTAATTAAAATAAAACCTAAGTATCATATTTTGATATGATGTACTTTTAGAGAAAAATGATGTCCATATACTGTTGAAGTCAGAATTATTAACCCCCTCCCTAATTATTAGACCGCTTGTTTATTTTTTCCCCCAATTTCTATTTAACTGAGAGAAGATTTTTTTCAACACATTTTTAATCATAATAGTTGTAATAACTCAACTCTAATAACTATATTCTTTTCTCTTTGACATGAGGACAGTAAATAATATTTTACTTGATATTTTTCGAGACACTTTTATACAGCTTAAAGTGAGGCTTAACTAGATTAATTAGGTTAACTAGGCAGGTTAGGGTAATTAGGCAAGTTATTATATAACAGTAGATTGTTCTGTAGATTATAAAGAAAAACAAATAGCTTAAAGGGGCTAATAATTTTGTCCCTAAAATGGCTTTTAAAAAATTTAAAACTTCATTTTATTCTAGCCGAAACAAAACAAATAAGACTTTTCCTAGAAGAAAAAACATTATCAGACATACTGTGAAAATTTCCTTGCTTTGTTAAACATCATTTGGAAAATATTTTAAAAAATAAGAAAAAAATTTGAAGGGGGATAATAATTCTGACTTCAACTGTATGTGGACTTGTGGTCCGAATTTACATAAAACATTTTCCCATTTTGGACAGTTAAAAATAGTGTTTGGGACATTTCATATGCTGAAAACAGTTGTAGGATGACACTGTATGTCTGTAACAAAATATAAAACATTCAAAGTATTTTAAATAGCCACTTAAGAGCTCAAATGTGCTGTCCACATATATGGCCACTAAGCCCTAGAAGGTTAACTATGGTTTTCTCTAAATTATTGTTTTGTTAGTGTTTACCATGATTTACTCCTGATATTTTTGACCAAAATAATATTACAGTGACAAAGACTTGATTATGGTGGACTACAGTTTAACCTAAACCACAGAGGCTTTGTGTCTTATTTTTATTTTGAGGGCTTTGCACTGACGCAATCCTGTTTATGAAGCAAGTATGCAGGTGCAGGTCACAATATTTTGATATGCGTCTCATTTATTTCTGAGATAAAGAATTTTGGTTTTAGATTATAATGGATTTTCTTCTGTTTGCTTTTTTCTAAAATGATTTGGCCACACATATGTCCAAACATACTGTGTTTTCAGAAGAAAAAGAAACAACTGATGATACATGTTTAAAAGTCTCAAACGATGACATGTTCAGCTTGGTTACATTGAGTAGAACTGTATTTAGCATTTTGAGGGTTCATCTAGTTGTTGTCACTATCAAAGAAGATAATAAACCAAAAGTTTAAATGATAAAGAAAAAGTCACCCTGGTAGACTTAAACAGCTGACTTAGAGTTCATTATTTTTCCTTTCTTAGAATTCAGTGATTTTGGTGAGGTAAAAGCTTAATTTAACCCTATTATTGAAAGAGGAGCTATATGACCATTTTTCCTTAAAGGAAGCAAAATAATCTGCATGTGGGTTAAGTAAAATAATATTATTTTCAATTTGAAGTGAGACTATTTTACCCCATTGGCAGATTTGTTTTTGCTTGTCTTAAGGGGAAAAAACTAACTTAATTTTCAGTTATTATTTTTGAGAGCAAAACAATAGTTTTACTAGAAAATGCTTTTTCATTTAAAATATTTTTTAGATATTTGAGCTATTTTTGCAGTGCAATACTTGAGGTAACATTCATTTTAAAGTTGTTTTGTTTGTTTGAAAATAAGAAGTAAATAGATAAGAGTGTCTCAGGTGAGTTTATGTTGTAGAAAAAAACGTAACTGAACTAAACTGACAAAAAAAGTAACGATTCCCACCATTAACTACTGGATTATTACCTATCTATAATCAAAACATTAACTGATTATTAGCACATATAATGTATGATAATGTTTTTAAATCCAGGCTCATTCTGATTACATACCCCTATACATTTCTGAAGAGGGCAAAATACGTCCCAGGAGCTACATTTTTTTGGCAGTTTTTGTTTTCGTAAATTCACCAGAGGCCACTGTGTATGCTTTTTGAGATCTCAAATTTCTCTTGCAAGTGCCATTTGCACCTGCTGTTCTCACGTAAATCCACTAGTACCACTAGACTGACTGACCAATCAGATTCAATCCAACCACCTTCCCCCTTCGATTAACCCAGCCAATACTATTTTAAAAAGCACCGATTGACTCGCCTATCCCCTTCCCTAAACTCAAACGCAGTATTTTAAAAAGCAATTTAGAAAAAGAAAAGCCCCCTGATTTTGACCACAATTTCAGATTTTACCACATTCTCAGCCTTTTATTTACTTTTAAGCTGTTATTTATTTTAAGCTTTTACTTTTGTCTTTCTTGCTTTATGGAACCCTGTTGTCACAGTCAACTCTGCTCTGTGTCTCAAGTCTGCCGACCGCGGAAAAGCTGTTCATACAGAAGTAAGCAGTCAGCTGGTAATCGAGAAAAGGAACGATGTCATACCGCCCTGTAACATTCATTTTAAAGATGAAATGCAACCATACGAAGCTCTGGCTACATAATTTGCGATCTCCAGAAATGTATATAATGCTACGTTTTCAAAATTAGCATTCCTAATCCAACACAATACCTAAACCCAACTACTACGTATAGTTTTTTGAGCTAATATTCTTAGTTAAGGGTTTGTTCTTGGTTTGTTTATAGCATTTATTGTAAAATAAAATACAGTGTGACCAAAAAACATACTAAAACCCATTCTATGTGCAAACTCGTCATCCCATATAAGTCCCTCTTGTGTCCAAGAACCGATTTGTTTTCAATACAGTAATGAAAATGACCAAAACATTTTAGTTATGCCCAAAAAAGGACACACATGGTTCCTGCATCCTAGAAACTTTTTAATGCACTCTATATACCTTCATAGATTTAAAAGGCTTCTCTCTGGTGTCAACTTCACCACTGTGATTGTAAACAGCAACAAGAGGTTTAAGCTAAACAACTACACACTATTATTCTGGATAAGCTGGTCTTGGACAGAAAAGCAGATTGTAGAAGTCTCCTACCAGACTGATGGCGTAGTTTTGGATGTGTTTGAGGATCAGGGAAGAGATTAGTGCAGTACTCCACTGAACAGCTGGATCATCTGGAAGCTCTCTGTTATGGACAAGAGGTAAACACAAAAGCTTTATATGCAGACTCCCCACAATTTTTCATTTTTTCAGAACAAGAAGGCAGTTGTATGAAACTTGATTTTTATAATTATGTGCACAAATAACACTCACAACACTTTAGTTTGCTGCATAATTGCTGAGCTGTTCGAGGTGGTTTAAAGTGAGCTGCTATGTGGTTGCTAGGTCACTGTGATATTTGAAACATGTTACATTGAGGCCCATTTAAAATAAAATAGCAAGGAATAAATAAACGTGAGATAAAGAACAAAATCTTCCCATTTGCAGTTATGACTTGCAGTTTTAAGATTTAATGTTGAACAGCTTAACAGATGTATTAATACTGTGGGCTCTATTTTAACAATCTAGGCGCAAAGTCTAAGGCGCATGCAAAAGCATTAAGGACATGTCTGAATGTGGTTTGCGCCCTGTCGCATGGTCAAACAGGGTTGTGCTTATTCTCTTAACGAGTTATGAGTGTGTTTTGAGCATAATGTGCATTAAACCAATCAGAGTCTCATCTTTTCCCTTTAACGGTTAGTTTTGTCGCAGTATGGCACATTTCCTATTTACATGGTGGACTTTGTAAGTGGAAAAACTAAACGATTGACTAGCAAGAAAACAGTTAAACAGACCATCTTCAGTGCGATTATAGAGAATGAGCCTCCTCCATTCGGCCTTTCTCTTTACTTTTATTCCTTAACTTTCATGGAGTGAGGAACACTGTTGTAAGCACTCAACTGAAGACATCCATTAGTCTACACATTAATTTGGTTTGGTAAGCACAAAGATTTTTTTAAAACTATTTCTAAATTCAGTTCTAATTTCCAGCAAATTAATAAATGAACAATAATAACAAAGTGTGGTCAAAAAACTTTGTTCTTATGCCCCATATGATGATGCAGACCTCCAAAACACACAGGTGAAAAAAACTAGATTTTATTAAAACAAATTTAAATGTGCTTATAATGAATCATACTACTACTAATAATAACATTATACAAATGGAGATTGTCGTGAATAAACTGAAAAAAGCCGCCCGAGGCATGAAGGCAGTGGTTTTTATATTTCTGTAAAAAAAATCATTTTTGTAACATTTTAATCTTTAATTTTTTTCATTTGTAAAGATATTTGTGTATTGATGTTCATCATGTATATCAAACAAGTTTAAACCTGTATAGACACATCACTAACACGCTCTCCACTGGACTTAAGAGCAGCTTTTAGTTGGTCAATGGCACAGTCTGTTTTAGTTCCTCGAAACAGCAACACACCAACAATGTGCCTTAACACACCTCCTTTTTAGACCGGCACACCCATGAATCCACAAAGTGGCACAAATGTATTTGCTATTTAAACAACATGATGCATAACGTGAAAAGTGAGTTACGTTGGTCTGAAAAATAGCAACAAATCATGTCAAACACTTCTTGTGCCTTATTGTGCCGGGTGTATGACAGGGCCCTTTTATGATGATCTTGAAAATGTTTCATGTTGGTATCAATTAGCAATAGCAATACAACATTTCTAAAGCTTAAAACAAAATTAGGATAAATTTTTTTTAATTATTAATAAAAACTACAATAGTTATTCAATGTTTGTTAAATAAGTCTTTTTAGAATGGGACAATGTCAAAACTCACAAATAGCCTGTTTTCTTTTACTTGGGAATAAGCTTCAAAGGTCCTTCTACCAAAGTGTGATTTCACCAAAAGTATCACCTGGCAAAAAAATGTACCTCAGAAGATTTTTAACTAAAAATGCTTACAAACTAAGGTCTGCTATCTTGTTTAACAGTAAGTTTCCTTATATACAGCGAATAACCATAAATGGACTTTCCCAGAATTCCCTGAATGACACATTTTAGTTTATTTTGTTGACATTACAATTTTTCCTATTAATTATGTACATTAGAGTTTTATGTTAAATTGAAATAATGTCTATTGCATGATTTTAGTGCCGTGTGTTACCATGACAGTAGTGGTTCTATATATTAGTATGTTTCTCTTGCTGTGGGACAAGCTGTTTGTGATGAACATTGGCTCATCATTTCTCAGCCTCTTATTCTTTTGGCTTTGTTTTTGTATGTGTAAAAAGGCACAATTTGTAGATGTACTTTAAAACACTGCTCTTATAATACTGTATAAATTGATAAAATACAGTAGATTATCTCAAATTTAGACATCTCTTTTACAGTTACTGTATTTTTAACATTAAAATTCAGGCAACCACGTCAGCCAATTTAACCTTTAAAACTGTTTTTTATGATACAGAAATGATGCAGAACAAATGACAAAGCGTTTTGGGTTTATTCAAAATCTCCATCAACAACTTTAGCAACAGTGATTCTTGAATTAGCAAGTGCAGCTAGAGTGACACACACACACACACACACACACACACACACACACACACAAACACACACACACACACAACACACACACAACACACACACACACACACACACACACACACACACACACACACACACACACACACACACACACACACAGAAATGGTGGCTAATGTTTATACTGCACATATATTGTGTTGTCCATGTTCTCTGTGTCAGTTGGATGTGAACTTAGCCAAAGTCTCTGTGTGCCAACACACACACAGCTGCAGCACACAAAGTGCTGAGGTCCTGAAAGGGCAGGTTTTGGCCCGAGGGCTACAGTGCTGAGCGAGAGTCTCTCGATCTGATTTACTGCCACAGTCTCACTAGTGCTCAGCTGGAATGCATCCCACAGTCCTCTCTGAAGTCTGGGATCAAAGGTCACCTGGGCTTTTCCCTCTCATTCATCTACAACTACAGCTCAGGGAAAACAAGGGCCATGCATCAATCTCTTCTCTCTTCTCACACACACAACTTTCTCTTTCGCTTGAACACCCCACATCAATGCTGCGTAATGTATTGGGGTCAGAAAAAGCTCCGCCCTCTGCAGACAATATGTGTTGTTTTGTGAACTAGCTATGTTTTTCCTCATAGACACTTTTTGTGTATTTCACATTGAATAAAAAAGAAGAAATAAAGATGAAGAGAAAAGATGTGTACGCTGAGTGGATGATCAAGAGCTGAATATATAGTAGAAAGCTGCCTACCAAGACAGTATTTTAAAGTGCATCTATTTTACCTGTTTTACAGGATGTAAGATAAGACTTTGGTGTATCCAGAATGTATCTGCAAAGTTTCAGCTCAAAATACCCCTCAGATCATTTATTATAACCTCCAGAATCTGCCCATTTTGATGTCTGAGTACATTATGGCTATTTTTGTAGCCTGTGGCTTTAAATGCAAATGAGCTGCTTCTCCCCACCCACCGCTTCCACGTGTGTGTCTGCTCCTCATTATGTATTATGTCAGATAAACAGCACAGTGGTACAGACAGACTCGAATGAAGCTGAAATATGTTCATGAGTCAAAAATACCAAGTAAGTTTATTTGATGTAGAGTCAATTCAAGCCTTTCTGAAATGATGAGTCACACACGTCGTTTGCAGTACACACATATTAGTGTTTACTGACACCAAGCGGCCAAGATGATTATAGTGGTTAAGAATTAGCGATTTTACAGTCCTTATTACAAACATGCTTTAAAAACATTTCAAATGTATTAAACTTATCACAGAGTTGTAACAAATATTTGAATCCCAGTTTATTTGCAAAACAAATGTTTTGGATATGTGTGTACAAGTTATTATAGAAACATGATGTCTGTCAATCAATTCAGTGGCCGGGAAAGACCGCACTTTTACGTCACGTTGCGGTGGGTCTCAAAATAACTGGGATTTGGATCTTGTTTTTAACATTAGGAAATAAAAAATGACTTATTGTGTTTCTATCACCCCAATATGACAGTGGACACACTATACATACACACAATTCTGTCCAAACAGCTTACAAAAGTTGATTTTCATCATAGGTACCCTTTAAGTCACTGTAGTTTTGCTGAAGATGGGAAAACCAACTTTTTACTTTGTGAAACTGGAAAAGACCTCAAAATTATATAATGCACTGCATCAGGAACAGATGATGGTTGAAGACAAATGTTGAGAAATATAACTATTTTGCCATTAATAATTAACAAAATGTTTCAAAGATTGTCATTGAAAGCATTTTTTAGCTTTGTCAACTGGTCAGACTAACAAATGTCTTTATTTGTTGTGATTAAAAGTCAGATTTACAACACACAATGTAAAGATTTAAAGTTAAATACTTTTGGAATTGGTATTGTGTTGTCTAAATGAAAATAAATCCTTTGCAAGTACATAGAAGCTGACATTTGTAAATGCTTTCCATAGCTGCAAAAAAAGCTGAATTTGGGGTTAAATATGGGTATAACAACATATTTATCTCTGTATACATACACACACAGGTGGACCTAACTAACAAGCAAAGTAAGCAGCCACTTAGGGCCCTGGGGAATAAGAGGGCCTCGACAAATGCCAAGAAGCCTATATTATCATATAGCCTAGTTCTTTCTATAATATGTTGTAAAATCTGTCTATAGCTATTAAGATTTTAATGTTATTACCTCTTTTCAAAACATGAAAATTGGAACCTTCCTTCTGTACTTCACATGCAAATATTAAAATCTTACCACAAATATGGCCAATAAATTAGTAAGTTTGTGATTTTTAAAATAATATTATATTATTTAATGTTTAGGGTTATTTCTTTAGACTATTTTGACGGATGTAAACAAAAACAAAACAATGGTCCCGATGTATCCTGTTTTCCATTTTAATTTTCTATAGCTTCAAAGAATGCAAAAAGAGCCACATATTGATAAACAATGTTATGATAGCTGTTATAACATAAGGATATGATTGATTTGCTTCTTGTTACACAGTTATGAAATAAATTGATAACGAGCAGGGAATGTTCATAGGCCAATGACATGACCACATTGAAAAGGTCTATTGGAACTGTGGTGCGAATGTTTCTAAATTTCGCTCCGTGTATACATGCATATGAATGACAATAA